TTAGTATCTCCTAAACCTGAACGGCATCGGTGTCTGTGACAGACGATTCAATAGCATCATGTAGTGCTCTTAAATCGTATAGGCTCCGAACGTGAGCCTCAGCATCTTCACCGGCATCATGAAGTTCAGATGTCGATTTGTCCAAACGGGCAATCAAAACTTTTTTCCGCTCTTTCACTTGCTGCTTTGTTCGGGGGTCAGGAGTCTCCTCATCCACAACAAACATGAGTGAGACTGGGTAGAAAAGAAGTGGGATGAAACGTGTGAGCACCGACAATTTCAGAGAATTCCAGAGGAAAGACATCGTAAAGTACGTCTGCCGCACAATAAATACTTAATTAACGATAATAAATTCCACGGTCGCACTGATTCTACCACAACAAGATTTCAAAGAACCGAAGAAAAAGAACCAGAAACAATTATTTCTATTTCTAACTATTGTTGTTCTTTGTCTGTGTGATGACGTCATACTTGAGAGTGTATAGGTACCACTACAGGCCCGTGTGATTAGACACAACACACAAGTAAGTACGCAAACACCACACACAGCAACAACAGGTAAGTATGCCAACAACAATCACAAACAGTTTGTCAGCAACCTTCATCAATCTGCTGTGTCTTCTTGATGTCTGTGCGATCACGCACTCCCCCTGACAGTTGGCACTACAGCTGTGTAATCTGTCCAGTCAGTTGTACCGCCGTCGTCTCTAGAGTGCACCTCTTACTCGGCAGTGTCCTGCCTGCCACGTGTCACCCTTGGAGTGCCAACATAGCAATGTTGCCACGTCAGCACTCTTTCCAGTCGATTAAAAATGGGATGCCGCGTCAGCAAATGTGTAGTCCGATCCTTGTCACGTGCCTCTTCCAAACGTCAAGTGAGATACCGTCGCCGTTCCAGCCAGTCAAATTATGCCTCGTCAGCCAAGGAGTTCAATGCCACGTCAACAGGCAGACACCACCTCATGAAGACAGGTGTGATGACCTGCTCCTGCCACGTCAGCAATCACTCTTCTTTCCTCCAGGCCACGTCAGCATCTGCGGTAGACCCTGTCGCCTGTTAGCAACACAAGAAGTGCAAAGTCCGCATCAGTAACAGGGTCTTCAGACGTGGCACAACACATGCCACGTCAGCAAGGGATCGTGATGCCACATCACAATCGCGGTCCAGGCTGGTGTGCAATATCTCCAGTCGCGGTCCCTACTGCCACGTCAGCAGCCTGGTAGGGATCTCTTCTTGCCAATGAAGCCTGTACCTCGTCAACAGTCCCGACAATGTCTTCTCGCCACTGATTTGTCAGCAGACCCCGGAAGTATATCCTCGCCAATAGGTATGTGCCACGTCATCACCCTAGCGTATCCCTTGCCACGTTGTCAGGACCGGTGGGTCCCGAATGAATTCCCGTCACTCGAGAACTTGGATTTGGCTGATTTGTGCACATCAGAGAAAATCGAGAGCAGTGACGAGATGCAGAAAAGACGGGCCGTCTGGGGAGAGCGGCCTATCGGGTAGAAAACGACGAGGGAAGCTGGCAAAAACAGGAGAGACGGCTACGAATACGCAAATGCAGAAGACGCAGCTTGTGAACAGGGAAGTGTCAGGAACAATCGATGGAACCAAGTATCAAGAGGCCACGAAGAACCAAGTATCAGAAGACGTCGGCGAAATAGCCGGCAATTGGACGACGAGGACGCCAGACGGACCAAGGGAAAACAGGAACGTCACCCGGGGCGAAGCCGAAAAAGACGGGGGGGAACTAAGATTAGCGGAAAAGCAGGAAAAAGTCGGGGCGTCGATGGAGAATCACTGACAAAATGAAAAGGAGCGGGGGTGACGCGAGAAAATTCGGAAAGGACCTGGGATGCCCCAGAGGAGTCCTGAACTGAATGGGGTAGACGGTAAAAATAGCCAGGTGGCGCCTGCGGATGACCCCATCTGGACCATGGGTCAGGATGGGAAAAATACACCAAGCACCGCCGCGGCAAGCGCCGGCGCGGGAGGCCGCGGGAAAAGTAGAGCAGTAGCGGCAAGGAGGCCTGACTGACAATCTGGAATGGTCGGGGCCAGCCGGGCCAAGAAAAATAAAGTTCCGAGAGGACCGCAAGGAAAAAGAGCTGCCCGGGGAAAATCGGAGTGAAAGGGACCTAGACGGGGAGTAGCGGCGGCCAAATGGAGCCCCTAGAGCCGCGGGGGTGCCAAGACTGCAGTCCGAGGCACAATGGCCATGTGCCGGCTGCAAAATCAGACTTTGGGTGGGGTCCAACAGCTAGAAAGAGGGAAAATAGTTGTTGGACACTTGTCCCAGCAGAAATAAAGGAGAAAGGAGAGAAAAGGGGGAGAAAAAGGAGGAAGAAGAGACAGAGAGGGAGGAAAAGGTGGAGAAAAAAATGCCGCCGGGTTGGGACTGCAGCAGTAGGGACTGACATCTCTCAATGATGACCTCATCCCTCCAAGATTTTAGGAGGGCAGTCCGGATTGCAGAGATAAGGCCCTTGGGCCATTATCTCTGCAATATCTAAGTTAAATCAGCAAAAATGCAGAAAAATGTTGATGTGAGTTGGCCGGCTATTTTTTTGACCTTAGATCTGAGATCAGATCCTGTGAAGGAGGAGATCTAGCCGTTTTTTATGGGCTGACACAAAACGGCTAGCTCCGGAATGAGGTGGCAGCAAAATGGAGGGAAAACAAAGCAAGGAAAATGACAAAACTGGGAATTTGGCCCAAGGGTTGGGCCAGATTCATCAGAAAGTTGAAAATTGAAGCAAAGGCCTCAATTTTGGAGGTAGGGAGACTTGAAAAGAGGCCGGAGCATTGTGGACCTTGAATCTCAGCCAGATCCAAGGCTGAGATGGATGCCGCCACTTGAAGAATGCAACGGCCTACTCCAAAAGGGCCTACATCTAGAAAAAGACAAGAAAAGGGCCTTTAGGCCTTTAATTTTCACCAAAGGCAGCATTTTGGGCATGGGTACCCCAAAAAGACAGCAGCTTGGGAAGGAAAAGAGGCTGGGGTAGGCCTATGAGTGGCCCG